GCTGTGAAAACTAGGCCAGGAGCTGATTGTGTAACAGACCACCAACTACTTATATGCAAATTCAAGCTAAAGCTGAGGAAAATTAAACCAAATCCGAGGCAACCAAAAAAAAAGAATAATAAGTTTAAAAAACCCTCAACAACTTAGAGAAGCCCCTGGCAGCATTATAGCATGCTCTGTCCCCAAAGCCCCTCACCTCTTAGCCTGATTCTGTATTCTATTAAGCTCTTTGATTAGTAGTCATGTTAGTTAGGTTGACTTGAACCTTGAAGAGAGGGAATGTATAGACACCTTGAAAGAGAAGTGTTCTTGAGTTCAGGGAGTGGCCTGTGTAGTGAAGGAGGCTATGGTTGAGTCAAATTACCTTGGTAACCTTTCCACTCTGTGGTGGGCAAATGCAAGAGCCGATGTGCTTTTGGGGCCCTTTCATTGCCCAGGGATTGTAACCCTCAAGAGGCATTACAGGCCACAGAAGAGAAACTCCTGGTTTCTGGGTAAATTTTGTCCTCTGATTGATCTCCAGCTTTTGGGGAATGTTTTATTTGGGGCTTCATTTTGCATACCTTTAGGGTAAAGCATTTTTTACTAAGACCAAGAGGGAAAAATCCCAAGAGAAAGATTAACCAGGTCAGCATATGGGGGTTTTGTAAGCATGTGTTCTGAGACACGTATGTGCCTCTCTGTGCTGTTTGATTGGACTCTGGCTCATCATAACTGAAACGGTTGCAGGTGAAAGTACCTGGGTAGGTGGCCAAGCTTTCTTGTGTAGAAACAGGGTGGAAAGTCACTGAAATAATCTCTCCTCACCTTCCTCCAAATAGGTTTTTAGATTCAACAAATTGCACAATACATTCCAAAGTTTCTCTTGTGATGATAGTTCCTATGAGGCATGACTAGAAGAGGAAATGGGAATTCCTTCTGACCCTGAGTTTTCAGTCCTGATTTTAGGAGCCTTCTGTAACTCCTCATGCTGCTTTTCAGATTCTGAGTTCCATACTGTGGCTGTTTAGGCCTATTTGACTTTCAGCCTCATCTTGTTCTACTTTTTCTTAGTCCTTCCATTTTAGCTGTAATAGTTTTACTAGAATGTTCACACAGATAAAAGTTTTTCTTAACACTCAGAGCCTTTGCACATACTGGCTCTTCTTGCTAGACTGCTTTTCTTGCTATTCTCACCCCCTTCCTTCGGGAAACCTTCCTTGAATCCTTATGCTAAGGCCCACCTGTGCTAGCACCCTGTACTTCTTCAGAACTAGAGTCATCATCATGAGTGCATGTTTAATAAATTATGAGCTCTCTGAGGGCAAGGACTCATTCTCACTGTCTTGTCTCCCCAGTGTCTGGGATTGATGGTGATTGCCCACTTAATAGGTGCTCAATAAATTGAGTAGAATGGATGAGTTCCTTAAATTGTAAAGTAGTATTTGAGCTCTGGTGGAATAGTGGCAAGAAACTGCACTGCAGTCCTGAAGGCATGAGGTTTGAGGCCACCAGCTGCTCCGCAGGAGAAGGATGAGCATTCTTCTCCTATGTGATTAACTGCCTCTGAAAAACCCACTGGAGGGTCAGCTATGGCTCAGTTCCAACTCTACAGTACACAGCAACAACATGTGACTGTTTACAAAGTTGAGATTCGGCCTCTTAGGAGTGAAACAGTACTACTGCTGATTCTTGAAAGAGGCTAGGTCTTTCATGGTAGAAAATTATCTCCATTTTCCCCATGTTGATCTTCTTCCTCATTCGGGGCAGTTATTAGTGATTTGGACTCTGGTGGGACCAGGAAGCAATCCCACTTCATTTTTTGAAATACTGTAGATTTCAGCTATTCTTCTTTCCCTACAGGGCATGAAGCAGCCTTTGCTGCTTTCCTCTGCTGTCTCTGCAAGATTGGGGTGCTCCGAGTGGATGACCAAATAGCTATTGTCTTCAAGGTGTTCAATCGGTGAGGGGAAGGAGGGCAGCTACTGGGGAAGGGAGTTGAGAGGGATCTCTTTCCTCCTTGTTACCTTGAGTCTAGACACAAGATGCTTGAGAGTTCTGAGTGTCCTGCAGGCCTCTCATCCCTTGTGCTCATCAAACTCTGGCTTGTGGGTGGGTTGTTCATTATTTCTCTGACAGGTTCAAATTCACCTCACAACTAAAATCAAATGAAGCGGTTATCAGAACTGACTGCTAATGCTTGTATGATGTCTATTATGTGCAGATACCATCCTCAGCATTTTACTTATTAACTCATTTAATCTTTTCAGCTGCCCTGTGAAGTAGCAACTGTTATTTCCGTTTTACAGATGGGGGAAAACAGGTCACACAGCTAACTGAAGCCCAGCAGTCAGGCTTTGACTTGCTGCCCCATCTCACCCAGACCACCTACCAGGCAGCACTGGTAGATGCCAGAGGCTCCAGGAGAGTTCTTTTTTTTTTTTTTAAATTTTCAATGAAAATTTACAGAGACTTTGGGTTTCCATTCATTCATTGTTGCACTTTTCTCCCCTCCCAATCCTCCCCCCTAGTATACTACCCTCTTGGAAAAGTAAAGAAAAATTCTTATATTGTTTTAGAAACCCTCCCCCAGGTCCACTCCACTATGCAGCCTTTGCTCTGCACTCTCCAGGAGAGTTCTTCAAATAGCAGCTCCTAGGCCTTGCTCCTGCAGTGCTCATCTACTAGGCCTGTGGTAGGGCCCAGGGGCTGGTGTGTCAAAAAGCTTCACAGGTGATGCTATCCAGCGTCTGATAAACATATCAAGTTTGAATCAGAGAACCTACAAAAATAATCTAACTCACATCAACTTCCACATGTGTAAATTGAGGTTAGAGAAGTTGAGGGTGTTGCCCTAGCTATCTTAGGTTTTTGGGAGAGAATTGAAGGCACTGAAAGGTAGTATCTCAGTTGATGTTTTGTCTTTTTTTTTTGGCTAAAGATTGTGGGGCTTTTGTAAGCATGTGTTCTGTGACACGTAAGAGTATGTAAGGGGGAATAAAATAAAAGCAAATTGCTTTATTTTGAGAGTACCAGCTGATGCACTACTTACAGGTATTAGTTGAAACAGAGAACAGCTATACTCTTGAGCTGTTGTTTCTGGCCTGTTTGTGCTCCCAGTGTCAGAGGATTGAAACTATCTTTTGACTTCTTTCTCCCTCTTCTCCTCGTCTGTGCAGGTACCTTGAGGTTATGCGGAAGCTCCAGAAGACATACCGGATGGAGCCAGCTGGCAGCCAGGGAGTATGGGGACTGGATGATTTCCAATTTTTACCCTTCATCTGGGGTAGTTCACAGCTAATAGGTACTGAGGAGTCACCTACCTCTCTCACCCTTTCCCCCACCACGTTCTATCCCTCCTCCCTATGCTGCTTCCCTGCTATCCTTCCCTCGCCTGCCCAGGGCAGACAGTGACAGCTTGTAAAGCAGGACATTAGACCAGCTATTGACAGAGGCTGTTTGCTGTCGACCTTCTGCTGCTAGCCAGTGTGTCGGGCTGGGGGAGGCGGAGGCAGAGCTCCACAGAGATAATGGAAAGTGACATGGGCTGTAGCAAGGGCGCTCGGCTGGTGCATAATGGACTGGTGTGAAATGCGCCCCAGCTTCTGGCAGCAGCTGTGGGGTTTTATGTTGAAAATGAGGGGCTCTTTTGACTGGTGACCAACGTCATCGCCATTATTATTAAGCCGTATGCAAGGGGGCCCATCAGGGAGCTGCTGCCAAGTGCTGGGCAGTGGGCCCGCTTCCTGTGGGGCTGAGCTGGGCATGCTCTGATGATCCCTCCCTACTTTAAGATGTTTCTCAGGCTGGGCCAGCTCATCAGGATCTACCAGTGGGTAGAGGTGGGGACAGGATGTCTATTTTGTCATAGAAGTAATTGCTTGCGAAATAATAAATGACCATTTGTTGATGACTTGCTCTTGTGTTGAGCACTGCTAAGTGCTTCAGGCAGATTTATCTCCTCAGATCTGTGAAGATGCATCTGTGCTAGCATATGATTACTGTTGTTGTTTGTTGTGACCAAGTATGCAACCCAGAGAAATCCGGCCCAATCCTGTGCCATCATCACCTTTGCCACTAGGCCTAAGCCCAGAGTAGCAGTTGCTGGTATCAGTTCATCTAGCAGAGGGTCTTCCTCTCTTCACTGCCTTTAAATAACACTTACCTGTGCTGGGTGCCATGGTAAGTATTTCCCTCATGGTAATTATTGTCATATATTACTCAGCAACCCAGTGAGAGAGAGGTTGTTGTTACCCCACTTCATTGATGGCGACACAGCTTTAGTGACTCCTAGTCACACAACTAGTGAAAGGCAGAGCAGAGGTAGTTATGTTTGAATACACAAGTGCACATACAGGTTGTTGCTCCCATGAAGTTCTGTGTGGAGAGCATCATGCAGAACTGCAGCCCTAGTGTTGATATTGACCACAACTGGCTCAAGGGGCCTGGGAGGTGTGAGTGTTGGATTCTTAACCATAGGGTGCTTTACTCTTCCCAGACCACCCTTATCTGGAACCCAGGCATTTTGTAGATGAGAAGGCCGTGAATGAGAACCACAAGGACTACATGTTCCTGGAATGTATCCTGTTTATTACCGAGGTGAGGGGGAGAGGAGATGGAAAGTCCCACTGCAGCGTGCTGGCTTTGGAGTGGTACAGAATAGATACAGCTGCTGCCTGAAGATGATAGGGCTGGCAGCAGAAGGGTTAATGAAAAGGAAGGCTCGCAGGGCTCTCCTGGGAGGTTTAGGCAGCCTTTGGCCTTCTAGGATCACTGCCCTTAGTCAGTGTTCTGGGATTAACTGAGTCTCCTGGGACTCTTGAGCTGAGGGATTGAGACTCTGTAACTGTTTGGAGGTTACAAGTCTGAAGGAGCTGGGTGGGTATTGTAGAGGGCAATGTATGTGGTAATCATCCTTTGTGGGGGCTCCCAGGGTCTCTAGAGCCAAGTACTCTATGTCAAATGTGCAGGGTGAAACATTGGGAGGAGTTCAAGAGGCCTTGTGGAGGCAACAGGGAAGAAGCCTGGTGGAGCAGTTAGAACTCCAAAGCCCCTCGTGGTCAACATTCGGCTCAGGCCTCTGCCAGACTCTAGAGGCCATTGCCGACATGTTTTTCAAGTCAGCAAATTGAGCAAGGACTGATGGCTGGGGAGTCGGCTTCTTTCTGAAATCTGCTGCTTTCAGCACTGTACAAGCTCGAGGGCAGGATTTGAGGTCAGCCTCACACATTTCTGGTAAAGAATATGAGCATCTTCAGAGCCCTGAGAAACGCCAAGATGAACTGAACTAGAGGAAGAAGAGGTGCAGATCCTACTGGAGTTCCTCTGTTAAATCTTATTTGGGGGTGGGGCTCGACCTTCATTTGGCGCCCCCTGGTGGCTGGCCAAGCCCCTGGGTCCCTGTCAATAACACTAACAAGGAAGGTCAGGCTCTTCAATTTCCTTGGAGAACATGGAATTAATTTAAAGTTAAAATTTTGTATTTTGTTTGGTTATACTGCTTAAAAAATAAGCACAAAAGCATTTCCATTAATTTGGGACTCAGTTGTCTACTCTAGGAAATCATAAAATGGCCACTAGGTGGTGCTATAGGCACACTAAACTTTTAGTTCCTGGTTAATTGTGGGACCCAATTGCTGTGGTGTGAATTCCAATTCACCAATTGTTTTATCGGTTAGGACTTTTTTAGTGACCCTCCATTGGGTTTTGGGCTGTAAGTCTTTATGGGGGAAGGCCACCAGCTTCTCTCCTGGAGCAGCGGGACCTTTCTAACTGCTGGTCTCTGGTTGACAGTTTATACTACATTATAGTGACTGTAGGGCAGGCTAGAGCAGAACCACTGACTTTACAGTTAGTAGCTGAATACTTTAACCATTCTACCAGCAGGGCTCCTTAAGTAGGGGAGAAATATGCACAAGGAGAGGGCAGAATCTAGAGCTTTCAGCTGTCTCAGATTCCAGCAAGGCTTGACTTTTTGACTCCAGGGCTTAGGAGTAAACTTTAAAGCTTGAGGGGGTGTTGTCCCATGAGTTGAAGTGACTGCAGCAAGACTCCCCTTTTCCACCTAGACAGCTGTACTGTGTTTGCTGTAGTACCCCTGTCTCCTCACCTCCTCCAGTGCCTTGTTTGTAGCACCTGTGAGTGGTGAGTAGAGGACCAGGACTGGACCAGCTCACCCTGACGCGGTCAGAGGCCTCACACTGGCATTGGGACCTGCAGGTCTGTGTGCAGTTCTGTGGCCTTTGATCAAGAAGGAGAGATGTTGCCTCTGGAGACTAAGAAATCATCATGGGCTAGTGCAGCTTTTGTTGTTGTGTGCCTTTGGAGTTGGAACCGACCTATAGCTGATCCTCCAAAACAGCCAGAAGTTGGAAATGGAATGTGACATCCCTTCCTGGGTCTTGCATGGGGATCTACCCTGGTAGCCCTGGGCCTTCTAGCTGAGAGACCCACCTAGTAGGGCTTCTGCTGTCTGAGGAAATGCAGCCTTGGCGCCTTTAAGAGCCAGAACAGGCAGGAAAAGAATTTCAGTTTCAATCTGGCTTCTAAATTTGGAGTTTTGGGAAGGGAGGGATCAGATTTCAGCTGGAAGGGAAGGAGCTGACAGGAAGGCGCTGTGCAGAGCCTCCCCGCCCCCCCCCCCATCCCCCTCAGTTACTGACAGAGGAACCATTTACAAAAGGCCGATTCTCTTGGGAGTGGAGAGGCAGGAACGCAGCGTCTGTGAGTAATTTCCTGCTCAATATGGCTGCTCTGACTCACACGATTCCCCTGGGGTCACTGCGGGACTGCAGCTTGCTTGCTCGTTCTCGCTCTTTCTCTTCTCCCTTTGTGGCTAGAATGAGCTATTTTTTTTCCCTTCTCACCCCGGATTCCTTTTTCGCCAAGTCTATTTTCCTTTCCCAGAGTTAGCCAGTCTCCTTCTGAAGGACTTAGGGAGACCTTGAGCCACTGAAGGCCTCTGGAGATGACCTCTCTTGAGAATGGATGTCTGCCAGTGGAAGTTTAGGCCCAGCAAGACTGTGGAATACTTCACTCTAGTTCTTTCAGCTGCCAGAGGCTGTTTGAGGACCCTTTCTGTGTCCCTAGTTAGTGAGCCTGGCCTAGGAACTGCCGCCCTAACTCCTCTGCTCACCTGCCTGCCTCTGCTGGGAGCCTTGGCTGCACAGACCTCTGGAGCTTCAGCAGCTGGGCAGAGTATCAGGGTGTCCCCAGGTGTTTTACCCACAAGGTCATGTCCAAAAATGATACTAGTGGCACAATTCTAGTGATGCCTAAGCTGTGAGGGGGAGGGCAGGGTGAGGCCCTGGAGCCTGGCCCAATCTCCAGGGACAGAGCCTGGGGAAAGGAAGGGGCAAGCAGGAGAGTATGGAGGGAGGACTTGGGGGCCTATTGAGTGGAACAAAGTTTGGTGAAGGCCAAGCCTTGTCAACTTGTTTACCAGGCAGACATCCTGGAGGAGGTGACTTGGCTAGAGGCATGAGGGAAAAGCATTCTGGGTGAAGGAAGAAACCCAGAAAAGCCCTGTTGGGATTTTCTCTGGAGCTGTGGGCTGGCTTCAGTGCAGGGAAGCCTGGCAGAAGACCTGCCCAATGACAGAACCCAGAGACAAGTTCCTTGGAAACTTGGGGCGGGGGAACAGGGCAAAATTGTTCCTTTTTTGGACTTAAATGTTGAAGTTTTTTAAGAGTTGACCTGACTGGAGAAGGTAAGAGACCAGTGGGTGTTCATCTGGATAGTGAGCCACAGCAGAAGGGTGGGGGTGAGTACCACTAAGGGTGCTTACATGATAGGAGGAGTAGTTGACTTGAGGGCATCTAGCACCAGATGGGGACAGAGCTCTGCTTATTCTTCCTCTTGGGAACCACTCTTCCTTAGCTCCCCTCATTCTCATACAACCTCTTCTGGAACCTTCTACTCATACATGGTCCAAGTTAGTGCTTTCTTGCCAGTGACATTTAACCCCCTTCCTTTTCAGTCGTTCTTCTGAAGCATTGAACTCAGATTGCTGAACCCTGTTCCCCCAGCATAAATGTTTTTCACTATGGAGTTGTGTTGAGGGTATTAGAAACTACTTGGCTAATAAATATAAGTGTCTGGCCTTCTAATATCTGAGAGATACACTCAGACCTTCATGAAGAGGGACTAGGAATGGTACTGCCGGCTGTGTTTGCTGCTGTGGTTCTGTTCCCACCTTCTGGCCGGGCTCGGCTGACTTTCTGAACAGATCTTCTCCCCAGTCTATTGCAGGTGTCCCCTGCCATGTGGCTGGCCTCTTCATTTCCTCCCTCCCTTTGCCCGCCATGTAGAATGTTTGAGTCTTACCCACCTTGGCCTTCCACTACAGTGACCCCTTCTGCTGATCTTCTACCTTTCCACCTTTTGTCTATGGCGAGTACAGACCAAGTGCCCTATAGTGGAGCTTGCCCTTCATATGAGAACAGCTGGTGAGGGGTATCTGGGCAGGCTTAGGCCCTGCTGCTGTGCTGTTTGTCTGAATGGTGATGAGTCACAGTGCTGGAGAGGCACGCTGTGGCTCCAGGGGAATTGGTGGGAGCTGCACCAGGAGCTTGAATGGAGGTTTTATTTCCTTGTAACTGCTGGATTTGGTGGGACGTGGGAATGGGTCCCCTTTTCTGGGTATGAGAGAAAGAGGGGTGACTGAGGGGGTGAATAAGGACGGTTATGTTTTCCCAGTAAGCCTTGCAGCCAGTAATGTATTTCTGAGTGTATGTGCTGTGGCCTGGGGTCTAAGCTCACATGTGATCATACTGGAGGCGAGTGGGGTTTTGTTTCCAGATTGGCCCCATTCAGCTTGTGGGCTTTCTTTTCCAGATGAAGACAGGTCCTTTTGCAGAGCACTCTAACCAGCTGTGGAACATCAGTGCTGTCCCCTCCTGGTCCAAAGTGAACCAGGGTCTCATCCGCATGTATAAGGCTGAGGTAAGTGGTGACTGGCCAGACTTTGAGCTACCTGGGGGTAGAGCACCCAGCCCTGCTGCCATAGTGAGGAGCTAGGTCTGAGGGCAAAGCAGAAAAGTGGAGTCTCGGTGTCTATCTGATATTTGGGACCCTAGAATCTTCCATTGGTGGCATGGGAAGCTCTGCTTGGTGACTTGAGACAGGTCCCTGCTGCTCCTTGGAGTGCAGTTGGAGGAGGGGTTGTGTCAAAGTTCCCACCTTTCATTTCAGATGACCACACGACCCTGTGCTCAGGCTATCTCTGAGCTTGTCTCTCCCTTGGGGATATAAAATAAAGATGTACTGGGGAGAGTTTCATCAAAGTGCTGCTTCCCAGTCCTCATGTGCACAAGTTCTGGGCAGGTGGGAGGTCTAGAGGCCCCAGTTGGTGGTTTAATGAACTCTTAGGTGACTTTGATGCAGGTGGTTCTCCCTGCTCTCAGCTCCCAGACACAGTTGGCTGGTGGGGAGAAGCTGTGGTTTCCCTGAGATCCTTAGGCTCCTGGGTCACCTCTTCTCCTGCTTTCTCTGAGGAGGCCTTTTTTCTCTGGTGAATGGGGAGGATACATTTCTTTTTCACTCTTTCCTTTCTAGTAGCTCCTCCTGTATCTTGAGCAGATCAATCCTGGTGCTACTTGACCCTTGGCTGGAAAAGAGCCTACTTGTGAAGTTTACCACCTAGAAGAGGATAAGAGGATAGATAGATCCCCCAAATCCTCTCTTCCTCTTCAGGCTGGCTTGATGTATGACTGATGGTATCAGGTACTGTCACTTAGGTGCCTATGTCTTGACCTTTGGCCATCCAGTGTCTTCTGAAAGGGCATTGACTCTGCTTGACTTCAGACCCATTTAGAGAGAGAGAGAGAGGAGCTGGGAGAAAAAGGTGTTAGAAGGAGATGCCAGGGTTTTGTAGCATAGACTCTTCAAACTGAACCAGCACCTTTGTGTGGCCCTGAAGGGGTTAATGATGTTGTGGAACTGACCAGGCTTGGCCCTCTCTCTCCTTTCCGCTCCCGCCCCCCCTCCCCCCAGTCCCCTTCCTCTGTACTTCACATCCTGTGTTTAGGTTCCAACTCACATACCTCTCTAATCTGAGAGGCATCGTTTGCTGGGGCTGTGCGGGCTTCTTCCGGCTATAGTCCGCCTGCCTGGCTCTCCACTTTGGCTCTGCCTGGCTGGACAGCACTGGGTCATTGCCCTTTGGGTGTCCTGCTGTTCCTGACACACCTGCTCTGCCCAGTCCTACAGTGAATTCAGATGAGGAGCTCTGGTGCTTAGCTCCCCTCCATCCTGATATATCAAAGACCCAACTCTGTTGACTGCTTTTCTTTGCTTGGGATATTAATTGCTGTCCTTCTTGTGGGTCTCATAGTTGAGTGACTTTAAAGTTATCTTGGCACTAGTGGTGTAGCAAGCTGCATCGCCAACCCAGAGGTCTTCCTGTCTCCAGTGGTTCAAATCTGCCATCAGCTCTGAGGACAAAGATGGATCTTCTGGTTTCTTTTTGTTGTTATGTTCCATCGAGTCCCCTGTGACTCATAGTGACCTTCTGAACAATAGTTTGGAGCCATGCCATATCTTGAGCCAATCTCGGTGTCTCTGACACACCTGCGCCTCCTTGCCACAGTCACCATGTCAACCCATCTCCTCTAGGATCTTCCTCTTCTGCACCATCCATCCACTCTTCAAGGCATGATGTTCTTCTCCAAAGACCTCAGAAATCTGATGTAGTTCATCTTAGTTTGAAGACTCCACTAAAGTCTTCCGGTATCATGGCAACATGCAAGTCTTCTCTGAAAGATGAAGGGTGGAGGCACATGAACGAGGTGCACAGGCTGAGAATTGAACCTGAGTGTCTCCCACTTTAAAGGTTTAGCTTTTCAAGGAAGGGAAACCAATGAAGCTCGAAGTAGATCATCACATGTTTTTCTGACATTCTTCTGGATAAGTTCAAACCATCAATATATTGGCCAACAGTTGAGTGCTTAACTATTTGTGCCACTCAAGAGCTTCATGATAAAGCCTCATGGAGCAATGTATGTCAGTCTCAGCATTTCTAAGAACAGAAGATGGGAACATTCAGTTGCTAAACTGAATATTAAGACAAATGAAAAGAAGCAAAGACAAAGAAGACAATTTCTTAAGTTTCTGAGTTTGCAAATGAGACTAGTATGAGAAGTGATGAAAAGCAAAATTTCAGAGCTAAAAACAAGGATAATAAATACAGGAATATTATTGCTCTTTAGTGTAAAAAAATGTTTTCTTGATGCAGGCCCCCTGTGAACAGTGCAAGGGACCTGACTCCTCTTCTGATGCCTTGCTCTGCTTTCTGGAGGCACAGAGCTTCAGTAGGACAAAGAATGGGAGAAGAGCAAAAAACTTCAACGTAGCAGTGGTACAGCAAGAACTAAGCAGATTGCAGTGAGAAAGTGAGAACATCTGTGTATGTTGACTGTGAGCACAGTGATTAGAAACTGACACCAACTCAGGACAAAACAGAGGGTACACTGGTGGGTAGATAATGGAATGTCCTCCTTGAACATAGTCCTGGGGTCACTTTGTATATAGGGGACCTTCAGTCACCCCAAGCCTGGGCTTCATCATAGAATAGCTTTGCAACTCACTGACTTTAGTTTATGAACACTAGTCTTTTGTAATGTTCAGTACTTGTTAATAAATTACTTGCAAGTTCTGCCTTGGATTTTTGGTCCATGGTAGTTCATTGAGTTTCATGTTCCTTGATCAGAAGGGCCAAGAAGTGCTTTCTTAGGCCAGCTCTTTGTCAACATGGAGGACCTCAGCAGCCTACCAGTCTTAAAGTTTAGGAATTTAGCAAAGCCAGGGCCTACCAGTCAGTTGGCCTCTCTTAGCTGGCACAGAAGCCTGGCTTTAGATGTCCTTTCTCAGATGGCCTAAGGATTTGGGACTAACTGCACCCCCAAGCTACCTGTCCTGGACTTTTTGGGCTGATGCACCTAATGCATTCAGGGAACCTTGTGTAGCCTTCCTTGAGGGCTGTCACTGCTGGCACTACTCTCAGAGTGTCCTTTTCAGAGCCAGAGAACCCATTCTCTGCCTTGAGTCACTGTGATCCAGCTCTGGTCTAGCTTTCTGGCCTAAACTCTCAGCTGGAAGGTCTATAAGAGATCAAGCTGAAGCTATTATTTTGTCCACTGTGTAGGGTTAACTAATCTGGACTTTGCTAGGGTAGAACCTTGACCAGAGATTTCATTCTGCTCTGCCCTGAGGTTGTAGGCTTCTTTGCCTAAAGCAATCTCACCTAGCTCCTTGCCTCTCCAATGACCTCAGAGAAGCTTGTTTTTGAGACCCCCCCCTTGGTGTTACTCCAGATGAGGGTCCCTGTGCATGGAGTGGAGAGGCCCTCTGCATTTGCCTCCACCCCCTAAACCTCTTGACTTTTCAGCTTCTCGTGAATGAGAAGGAGAAGCAGGCTGACCTTTGACCCTTGCTGGAATTCCAGGGCCCTGGGGGCCCCTTTTCCCAAACTCTCACCACTTCTATGATGACATAAACACAATGGCAGCTGCCTTTGCCTCTGGTCCAACTCTGCCGCTGTTCCTCCCACCAGAGACCTCCCTAGCTGCCTGTTCCCCACTTTCTCTGCCCAAAGCTTGGATCTACACTGTTGTTCCTACCTTGCTCCCACGTTATAGCTTAGACCTCTCTTCTTCTATTGGTATAATAAGCCTTTCCTTTCCCTGTTCCTCTGTCGGTCCCCTTGTGAGCCTTGTGCGTGACCCCCTCTCCATACACATAGCTGGCTTAGACGCCCTCATTTCACTTGCCTCTGCCTTGTTTCTGCATCTGAGTACTGATGTTAGGGAACCTGGACCCAGTCACTAGATGCAACACCTCTTTACCCTTCTACATTTACTACAAGTTGAAATCCCAGCTGTATATTGGGACCTTTCTTTCTCATCTGTAGACCAGAAACCTTGTTCTATGGCAGCCATGAAGTGCTCAGTTCATTCTCTTTGTTAATGTGGCCAAAGGTATGGGAAGAGGCCCTGGGCCAGCCTGGCAGATTCCCACATGCTTGGAGCTGTTGTGTGTTGAGAGCTAGTCTGTGTGGTAGGCACAACTGGGCCAGGCACGGGCACACTGGGACCTGTGGTTTGATCTTTTCCTATACTGTGCAGTACGGAAGGAATGCCCAGGCTCAAGGGATGCTGGTATAGAGACTGTGGACCAGACCAACTTCTGTGTAGGTTCTCCCAATCTCTTCATCTCCCTTCCCCTTCCAGACTCTGGATTTGAGGGCCAAGCCTGACTAGGGTCAGGGAGTGCATTTGGGCCCCTGCTCAGTGAGCTCTCTGCTCAGTGCTCTTTTCCCCTGCTCCCCATACAGAGTTGCTGGGAATTGCCCTGGGGGGGGGGGGGGAAATGGATGGTCAGCTGTTTCTTATTGTCTTACTCTGAAGTGCCAAGATGCCTTTTTTTTTTCTGTAAAGAACTGAAAGTCTGAGAAAATGGGCCTTGGCCTCTTGTTAGGCCAGTGTACAAATATCCTTGAGTGTCTTCCACAGGGCCCAGAGTCTGGGCCCTCACCCATGTGATTTGGAAGAGATCTTTTGTTCTTTCTAAATTTTATTTGTTGTTGTTGAGAAATATATACAATGAAACACACACCAACTCAGCAGTTTTTATATGTACAATTTAGTGACATTAATCCCATTCCTGAAGCTGTGTTACCATTCTCACTCTCGTTTTCTGAGTTGTTCCCCACTCATTAACATAAACTTACTGTGCCCTGAGGGTTCTGTCTGATTTTTTGAGTTGCTGTTGTAAATTTGATATTCTTTGTAGAAAGTTCTTTAAAGAGCATAATGCTCAAGGCGGACCTTTTTTAATAATTGAATTAAATTATTGTTCAGTTTGAAGAAAACTTGGGATATTTTTTATTTAAAGTTTATTTCAAGAGGGAGCTATGGGAAGAAGTTGCGCTATAGTCCTGAAGGAGC